GAGAGAGGAGAGAGGCGTGTGTGTGTGGGAGGGGGCGGGGGGGGGGGGTTGAAGAGCAGGGTTAAAAGACTGCATGAACACCCAAACCCAATATTGAGGTCACAGACATGCTCTTAAAATATTTAGTGCACAGATTACAAACTGTGTTTGATTATTTTAGGGTCCCACATGAAGAAGTTTGTATCAAAGTTTAATTCACTCTCCTCGAACCATTAATAATAAAAAATAACCCGTCTAACCGAAAAAGGAACATACGTTACCGTTACAAATGCAAAACGACCAGCTGTGGAAAACGTTTGACAATTAAATCATCAATTCAATCATGTTCTTAAGGTAATCTCCTACAAGTATAACGTTGTAAAAAATTATGATGATCTTCTGTATGGAGCAGTTCAATTTTTTTTGAGCGACTTTATTTTTGCTTGTCACTGAATATTAAAAAAAGGGGAAAAACACACGCTACTGACAGTAAAATAAGCATTAAACTATTTTCCATTCGTGTCCAAATATTATATCAGAAACGTCAAACTGTCACTGAATTACAATATATTTTTCAGTCAGCAACAGAAAACCCTGTTTGCCATTGCACCAAGTGCTTGGGCAAGATGAAATTTTCTGAGAATTTTTCTGGGGAACATATGTTACGTAGTATTAGCCACGACGCAAAGCTTCCTGAGTTACAGTTTAAATATTTATAAAAAAAAAACATCCTTTACGTCAAATGATTGAATCGCTACAAAATATATCGGAACGCGATATAAAAATTAAAATTATAATACCCAGAACATACGTTACTATTTAGGTTCCTTAATTAGTGTAAAGGCACGGTAAAAATCAAAAGTAGATGTAAAATTGAGACAGCCGTGGATTTTTGTTCTAAACACGTTTTAAAATATTGAATACAACTTTGAATTCACTCAATTTTATATTTTTGATATTCCAGTATGTGAAATGCACCTCTATATAGGGTTTGGGTGTGAAAAGAACGGCTGAAAAAGGGCGAAGGCGAGAATGAACAGTCTGACAGGAGGAATGGGAGCAAATATTCGTGGTACATAACTCTTCATGTGTGTGTGTGTGTGTGTGTGTGTGCGCGCGCGCGCGTGCGAGCTAATTTGATTGAATGTTATCTCGGACAGCACGCCCTTTAATTGAAAAACGTTTATTTATTTATTTATTATTATTATTATTATTATTATTATTATTATTATTATTATTCCAAACGCAGCAAGCACGCACGGCACATCCAGATTTGCCAACCACACTGAAAAAGACGGGAGCAGGAAGGAGCGCCTGTTTGCTAAAAGATAACAGCTCCACATAAGATAGTGCTCTAAATAAATAAACTGTATTCTATACAAATAAACGCCAATTAGACCGTGGTATCATAGGTCTGTATTCTCAAGCACTGAGAGACTTCGTTTCATCATCCCAGCTTTTTTTTTCTTTTTTTTTCTTTTTTGTGCTATTGAAATTGACGAACTCCGGTCCAATGATCAGGTTTCCGGATTTTGGTTGCAAGGCGTTGAGCCTGTTTCGCGACTCACGAACACAAATACACATTTCTCAATAAACATGTACAGTGGGCCTAACTTGCAAACGCTCCTTCAAGTCATTCACGGCTTGTTGGCTCTCCTAAGTGTGCAAGAAACAAGAGATAATAAAAAATGACTTCCTGATCCTCTCCTTTTATCTCTAATGCAGTCTTCCTGGTTTTTGGTTTAAAAAAAAAAAAAAAAAAAAAAACCGAAAGGGGAAGTAGTTGGCGGACCTTTCTGATTAAAGCGTTTTATCACAATTTTCAGCACAGGTAATAATATTACAATGCGAATCTTTTAAACCTCAAATATTGATGAAATCTTTTTTTCTCAGAACAAGTTCTAACTGATAATGAAACTGGCCTCCAGTGTTGAATCGAGAATGTTTTGAATTTAAAAA